GATTATAATGACTTATACTGTCTTTTTACGCGTTGCATTGAATTGTCAGTGGCAAATCCTTTAAATATGAAAACATACTTAGAGGCTGTGAGTCAGCATCATAGACTGTAAAGGGTCAGCATGCGCGCCGAAGGGGAAACAGGGGAACTGAATTCAACAAAACACCGGCATTGTAGGCTACTCTCCCAGGAAACAGTCCTCGTCCTCCGTAAAATGCGTTGCACACATCTGAATATTTGGGTTGAACTGTTCTGGAACAGTGTTGTAAATACAACTTAACCACTGATTTCTAGTTGTGTCCTCTTTTGGAAGACCAAACAAAGTAGTTTTGCTTTCACAACCAAACACACAGCGTCTCCACAACATGGCGGTGGCGGCAACAATACTACAGCGAGAATCAAAGTTATGCCTTTTTTCTTTGCGTGAACATTTGGGCGGTGTTACGCAAATCTTCCCACACAGTGACGTAGACATGTGGGGGCATGTTAGAACGAGCTGTTTTAGGAGGGCGTGGACGAGCAGTGTTGCCAAGTCTGCGGTTTTCCCTCGGAATTGGGCTACTTTAACACTGTTGCCGCGGGTTGTTTTTCATGTCCGCGGGTTGAAGCGACTCCAATAACATGATATTTATCCTCTGGAATGCGAATTTTAGCAGGGGAACCCCGCCAAAAAAACTTGTATTTTACCCCCTGGAATGCGATTTTTAACTGGAGACCCCCTCGAAACGCAATTGGGCTAGTTTTGAGTAGCGATTGGGCGGGTTTTCTTGTGAGAACCTGGCAACCCTGTGTCTTAACGTTTATAAAGAATATCTCTTTAGGTTTGAGACTTTAGTCTTTGCAACTTTAGGGATCTTATCTATTCTCGAACAGCTTTTAAGACTCCAAAGAGAAAGGAAAACTTTAAATCGTATCATATGACCCCTTTAACATTGTAAATCCAGCCATTATTTTATTACATTTTCATTTTAAATATATACATTTATAACACTACATTCTGTGTTGTATGGCATTAAATGACAGAAAACTAGTTAACGCTACTGCATGAGGGTTTCTAATACAACGGCAGAGGAATTGATGGCAGATTTGACATCTTTCTCTATTTTTTCCTCTTTTGTAAGGTCATAGAAACACTATCGTGGATTTGTTCTTTTGCTTTTGGATCAAATGGAAACACAAAAATGATATCTGTTGTAGTTTTCGTTCACCACTATAGTGGTTTACCCAACTATGATGACTTCCGCTTCTGAGAACCTCGGAAATGTGAAAAGGGTGTATAAATAAGCACTCAGATACAGTCTACCTCCATTGCTTTGTCACCTTACAGTCTTCCTGAACTAAACGGGTTATTTGGTGAATTGTTGCTCAAGCTATTGGAGTTCTGAATGAATCTGAGAGGAAACCCAGACCTCCAAGGCTCGCTTCCACCTGGCATGATTTAGGATGTGTGGAGCCTTGACTGTGAGCTTTAGACAGCAGGCTGAGCTCTGACAGATGAGCCAGAGCTAATGCTAATAGGAAGTCAATACATCGATCTGGACAGGAGACAGATTACGGCACGGCAGTCCAAAGGGGAAACCGAACACAGCAGGACGAGGGGGGGGAGGGGGGGAGTGATCCGTGGAAGAGCTGCCGTGTGTGTTGAGGGTTTTAATGGGACATGCTGTGTGTAGCGGAGAGCAGATGTACGAGAGACAAGACACACACATTACATTGCAGAGATTCATTTTAAAAAGGAACATGTTCTATTATTTTGTAGAATTCTGTTTTTGTTTCCCCTAAAGTCCACTTATAATGTTAATCAAGGTTCTGCCACCAAAAATCAGTCATAATTTAGATTTAAATGACCATTTTCCACCCTCTCTCAGACTAAGATGGCTGTATTTCTACTGCACCTTATATGTAAGGGATGGCTGTTATGATTGGCTTTTCACTTTGCATGTAAAATAAGTAGCAACACCCCCAACAAGCTGCTGAATAATAAAAAAAATGTTTTGATTTACATGTTTGGTCAATAAATAATAATTCCATCCTTCTTTCTCTTTGTTTTATTATCTTATAGAGCTGCTTTATAGTTTGCTTCATAACTAATGAACTTTGCAATACTCACACTGTTATTGAACTAAACTGAGCTGAATAATGACACTGTCTTTTTAGAGCTGCTTTACAACTAAAGTGGTATTTGTTTGAAAATTGAAGAACACTGCAACATTAATACTCCTATATTCCTGTTTATTACAGTGAAGCTGCTTTGAAACTATTTGTATTGTATAAAGCGCTATATAAAGAATTGTGACTTGACTTACATAGAATCAGTAGGTCTGTCTACACTTGTGACTGGTAATATACAGTAATATATATATATATATATATATATATATATATTTTTTTTTTTGTGTGTGTGTGTGCATTGATGCTTGGGTAATATTATATTTAAAATATTCATGCCAATCAAGTACAGTGGAATTGAACACTGAAATAAATTCTGAATTTAAATTGAAAATTGAGAAAATATGAGAGAGAGAGAGAGAGAGAGAGAGAGAAAGATTGACTAACTCCATTTAAACTCATGCCACTCACATACATATTCAACAGTTGGAGAATACACAACAATAACAGTGAAAAACAGAAACCATTTATTATGCATTTCCTCATTTCAGCAGCCAAGCGAATGAAGAGAAGCTATTAAAAATAAGCAAACATATTCTAGCAAACAGGCTCCAGAAGGAGCTCGTTGTTCCAAAATCAGGGAAAGTTTTCAACAGCATTAAGTCTACTCTCAGCTTAACTTCGCCAGAAATGAATCAACTCACAACTTCAGCTATGAAGTCAATCTGACATAGTGTTTTTATTTAATAAACCATTACCATGGTAAAAGATTAAAATCTGATTGTACTTGGATATATACCATGTTAGTAAATTATTATAGAAGTACCATGGTATTTGTATTTAACTTCATTCATTACAAGCTTTTACTTGAAGCGACTTGCAAATGATGGCACACCAAGTTATTTTACAAGGTATTTCGTAAGAAAACAGTGGTATTTCATGGTACTATCAAAACATGGTACTGTGTATTTGTTGTTAGTGATGAATCAAACCTTTTGACAAACTGTATGAGGGCTGTGTTTGCTTAGCTTGTTGTTATTAGCTTACATGAAAGTGCATGCATGAATTTTGAGCCCCTTTTCCTTTGCTAATGAGGAGGAAAGTTCATAGCGGCTTGATACACAAGAATATTAAGAACACAGTGGGTGGCCACTGAGTTTATCTCACCTCAAAGCAGCTGGAGTGCGCTCTTGAAACTACAGAAGAACAGCTAACATTATTGTGCCAGTGTTACCACTGGCGTTATGGACAAGTGGCCACTATCAAAGT